TTTTATATATTTAATTTTAAAGAGTTTACTATTTTAATATAAAATTAAAGAATTTTTATGTTTTGATTGCTGTTTTAATATAAATCATTAATATTTAAATCTCTTTATCTTAATAAAAAAATTTGCAAACTACTGCTATTATAAATGCATCTTAATTCTTAAATCTTTAAAATTTAAAATGAGCTGTTAAACCTACTTTTATAACCTTAAATTTAATAAAAATTAATTTTTAATTTACCAAATAATAAATATCAAGAATTCATTAATGTTTATATATATTATGTTAAGAATAAGAAATAGTATTTTAAATTATGTGATTATTTGTAATAATATAGTAAAAGAATAAAGAAATATTAGAAATAAAAGTTCTGTTAAAATTGATAATATAATTAAAGGATAATGATTATTCTAATTAACTTTTACTTTATATTTATAATAAAAGCAAATTATTTTAATCATATAATAGAACTAACTTATTTACTTATAATTGATCCAATTAAACTTATGCTAAAAGTTTCTAAGAATATATTAGCTTAAAAAAAGATATAGATGCAATTAAAATAAATTTGTTAAATTAAATTAAATTTATAATATTACAATTGATTTTCAGATTAAAATGATACAAATTTAAAAAAATAATATAAATAATAATTTAATTGGTAAATTAAAATAAAATATAAGATATGCATAGAATTGCAAAGCAAAAAAACTTAAAAAGTTTACTAAAAATTAAGAAGTAATTTAATATGATCATTTTGAATATCTATCACTATTATTAAATATTTAGATTTATATGATAAGATTTATAATTCAATTAAATTTGAATTAGCTGATTTGAAAAGAAGAAAAAAAGTTATTAAAGTACAGATTATTGAATATTTATAAAAAATTCTAAAAAATTATATAGTGCAAATAATACTAAATAATTATCTCTTACATAAATAAGCTAACTTAATTACTATAAAGACTTATCATTATCTAACATAAGTTATTATAACTAAAGTTTTATATATAAATACTAAAAAATTTCTTGATAAATGCTATTATTTTGTATCTGTTAAATATGCAAAATAATTTGCTTCTATGTTCATTGATATATTTATTATTATTTTTCAAGATAATAAAGCAAAAATAAATCTTAGAATACCTATAGTAAATTAAATATTTTATATTTTATATTAATAAATAAACCTGTATCTATAACTGATCATAATTTTTTATAAAAAACGAATAAAAATTAATTCCTTTAGTATATATAATTATAAAATCAGATAAATTAAAATATAAACTTTAAATAGAATAACTTGCAATAGTTTTTACTAATTTTCAGTACAGAGATAAGTTTAAAAAAATTATGAGAAATTGCAAAGTAAGTAATATATTAATAAAAGAAAAAACAATGAGTTTATATTAATATATTTGCAAAAAGATTTATTTTAATATTTAGTTATTTAAAAAGTATACTAAAGGAAAATAATATAAAAGATAAATTTATATAAAAAAAGTTTTCAGTAAATAATTTGAGTACTTATTTTAGAATAAATTCAGTTAGTATAATAAAACTTTTTTAATTAAAATTAAAAGTTATTAAAATTCAAAACAATTAATATTATTTAGAATCTTGTATAGAAGAAAAAAATAAATAAGTCTAGCTTAAAATTAAGGTATAAAATTTATTTAAATATATATTTATTTAAATATATAATTTTAATCTAAATTTAATTACTTATATTTTATTTTTAAGAATCCTTAATCTTTAATTTACCTCTTTTTGTTACTCTCAATAATAATAATAATTTTTATTTTATAATTTTTCTTACTAAAATATCTAATTATTATATAATTTTTAATACTTAATTAATAATTTTATAATTTATAAAATTTGGTTTATTTTTAATATAATCTATATATTTAAAATGTTGACGGTCATGAGGTATTATATTTAGATTACCCTACATAAAATTAATTATAAAATTGTGAATTATTATACAAATTTAAAAAGCAATTTATTTTTCAGTAAAATTTGAGTTTAAGTTTCAATATCAGTTATACAAGATTCTTTATTCAGATATTTATATAATATTATATGATTTACAAGAAATTATATTTTTATAATGAAAGTATTGAATATTGATATACAGTACTGATATCTGAAGTATTAACGTAAACAACAGATATTTATTAGTCATTTTTAAAAAATTATTTTAAGATTAATAAATAATATTTTTTAGATTTTAATTGTAAATTACATTTTATATATATACTAATAAATAACAGTTTAAATATTTTTATAAAACTAAAAATTTATAATAAATAGTATATAATATAATATATTAGATCCTTATATATTTAATTATAGTAATAATATATAGTAAAATTAATAGTTTTTAAATTTTAAATTTAAATTATTTTCAAATTTTAATTGAGTTACAACTTAATTGTAATATAAGAAAATTTAATTGCAATTCAATTATATTATTTTTTTAATTGCAGTATCTATCTTTAGATATAATTTATATAAATAAACTATTATATTATATCTTTAGATTTTATTTTTTACTATATAATTTGAAAATTTTAGTTTTATTTAATATATGAAATCCTATTTATTACTTATTATTTATCATAACTGTTACTCTTATTTAGAGCTATTATATTTATTATGAAATATTTTAAGGATAAAAGTTGAAACTAGTTTTATTAAAATCTTATATTATTCACATATATAATAAGTTTTTTAATAAATTATAATTATATTAATAAATTATTATATAAAATTTTAAATTTTCCAATTATGTATATTTTAATTTTAATAAAATAAACTCATAATATAATAAATCTATGATATAATAAACTCTTGACTTTTCAAATATTTTTTCAAGAATCAGGTTTATAATATTTAAAAAAAATTTTAATATACTGAATATTATATAAAATTTTATATAATGTATAAAAAAAGGTTAAAAATGAATTTATTAATGAATATATTGAAGATATAAAAGATAATGATTTGAATAATACAGAATAAGTAATATATAATATTACAATAAAAGATAATTTATTATAATATATAAAAATATTATCTTGAGATTATAAATTTTATTTTATATATAAAAATTAGTAATAATAATAATAAAATCATAATATTACTTTAAGTTAATTAGTTAATTATTTAAGTTTATTTAATTTAATTAATTTTAGCTAAAAATTAAGCATAGAGTGACTGAAATTACTAATTTTAAATTTAGTATTTATGTAAATAGAATTTGATTGGTTATCTAATATATGATAATATCAAAATTTTATAATTTAATTGGTTAGTTTTATGTAATAACTTCAAAAATTTATATAATTTAAACAGTCTCAGGATAAGAGCCAACTAGAAGTTACTCTATCTTTGCAAAATATTAAACGTATCTTTTTCTCTTAAAGTATCAAAAGCATTTTGGTTTAGCTCCAGTTTCTTCGCTTCTATTAAAAAATGATGTGTCCATATTGAGTTAAGGTTTATTAAAAAAAATATTGATCCTGTAACAATATTTCTCAGTGGAAAGCAAAAAAAAAATTCTAAAATGACTATCTCTTATATTACTTCAAATATGAGATAAGTTCTTTATAATCGAGATATACTTCTTGAGTGTTGAAAAAAGACATTATGTGTTTTATGTGTTATATTAAGTTTGAGTATATATATAAAATAAAAAGTGAACTGCAAACTGCAAAATAAAAATTTGTCTGTTATACTTGTTCTGCAACATTTTTATAAAACAGGCCTTAAGTAGCTAGAAAATGTGTATATTTTAAAGCAGATTTATAATATATGTATTGAAGTTAACCATAACAGTTAAGGTAAATTGCAATATTATTTCATTTTACATATACGTGAACAATTGTTCATGCTGATCACTTTTTATAAATGCAATCAAATAGATATTATTAACTTTGCAGATAAAGCTATTAATTTACTTAGTATTTATTGATAATATAGCATTTAATCATCTTGATAAGAATCTTATAGTGATATATTAAAGTTTCGTTATGCAGATAATAAATTGAGTTTTTTATTCAATCTTTCTTTTTTTGGATCTTTCGTGAACTCAAAAATTCATAATCATCATTCTTTTGTTGTCAGTTTATAGACTTTTTCTTTAAATGTTTCTTTAAAGCTTCATTTGCTATTAATCAAAGTTTTATCACTTAAGTTATTTAAATATTCCAAACATCGAGTAATTTAAAGCTAGACAAATAATAGATAAGTATAAACTATATATGATATTAGTTGGTAATTTGATAGACTATTACTTTTACAATAAGCACATTATAGATCACGAAAATAAGATCATCAATTTCAGAAAGATCAGTTAGTACCTTGCTAAGAGAATATCTATGAAGCTAACATATAGAATATCTATTGTAAGTATTAAGCTTAATATAATAATATTGATTAGTATATTTATATATAAAAAGGTATACGTTATATCAAAAATATGCAAAATCTGACAATTTCAATTTGATTCTTTTTGACAAAACTAATATTGTGCTTTTTAATTTTTTGAAATAGCATATTATGTATTATTTTAGATATCTTCAATGAATTTTCAGATAAATATTTAGTATGTCTTCTCCGATCTAAGTGCGACCTTCTTCATTAACTGCAAATTCTTCTAACGATCTTAAATCACATACAATCCTATTATACTTACATTCTATGATCTTCTTGACCTTCAGATTCTTTCTTTTACAGTTTTTTCACTGTCTTGATACACTAGAATAGCCTTCGTCTTGAATAAATTCAACTATCTCGAGATCAATAAAGAAGACAATAACTATAATATTTCAAATATTACTGGTAAACTATCCTTCTAAATAGCCTCTTGTGAAGCCATTCAGTCTCAGTTTGTATCTGAAAAGAAGTTGCGAAAAAACTTGATGGATATAGTGAAAATTAAATATTTTTTTGAATAATAGGAAGAAATATTGATGTTAGAATTAACCAATTCTCACATTTCGTTAGGCTGAAATTTATAATATCTCATAAGATAATTTATCAATTTATCTGATAATTCAGGTTCAGAAGAAGTATTATATGTAATTATATAATCATGGTCAACATCTTTGAAAAGATCCATTATAGCATCATTGCTGGTATCGATTATGAAGCTATGTAATTGAACTTCATATTGAAAATCTTTTGCATATTTATATAAAATATCTTCAACGTAATCGCCTGAAAGTAACTTCTGCTACTTATCAATATGTATATTGAAGAATTTTATTTATTTTCTAATTTGGCATGATCATTCATGAAATCGTCCTCTTCACTTTTAAGACTTTCTTTGATATCTTCATTACCATTATTAAGAATTCTATTGTTTGGAATACCTAAATGCTAATTTAAATTCAAAAGATATAAAGTAGTTCAGCAATTCACAATTCTAAAAAAGATCATATTACCATACTAATTAGGGCTATCTGATTTGATGTTAAAACTTTAGAATTATAATATCTCGTCTTGTCCAGAAATGAATTATTTTTAAAGTCTAAAATTGTTTCTTGAGGTTTGTTTGAACTAAGTGAGTGATATAAGTTAATTATAGATACAACAAAAACTGAGATAATACAACTTATGTATATGATATCTGTAATTCATTAGTTTTATCAAAGGTTTTTAAATAACCCTTAGAGGTTATTTGTTGAAAATTTTGTTTTCCAGCAATACTCAGCAAGTCTATACTTGCATTTAGATGTGTTTGGTTTGCTTATATCTTTTTTTGCAAAATAAACAAAATCAAATCTATGCTCGTATGAAGTCATTTTTAAGAATTAAAAAGTTTATATTACTTTTTTCAATTCCTTCTTAATATAGCTAGAATCTATTGTTTATATATTCAGATTTTACCTGCAGAACGGAATATAAAATTTAATACAACTTTTTTCATTAAAAGAAAAGATTCAACTTCAAGTAAAGGTGATTTTGCAATAGTAGTGGCTGGGAAGAAAGCCAATGCTCCTAATCATGATGAAGCAGAATAGGAGTGTTACCAGTCTATCACTTAGGTTGGAAAGAAAGCTAATACTCCTAATCATGATAAAAGCAGACAGGAACTTTCTAGACAAAATATAAAAATAAAGATACAAAATGCATCACTTTCTTTTCCATGATGTTGAAATTGCTTGGATCCAGCTCTTATACTTTATATAAAAAATGATTAATCCAGTGACCATTGAAATAAACCTATTTGTCTAAATAAGATAGTAACTTAAGGAGAGTATCACAATGGAATGTTAGAAATTCAGTATAGAACTACATTGTCTTGTTATTGTCTTTTAGGTAATGAGCAAGTGATAGAATGTTTAGAACAAGTTAAAAATTAAAATGTTTTCTTCACTTACTAATATCATTCAAATTTATCCAAGTAATTAATGTAAGATTCTATCATTGTATGAAACAGAGTGAGTATAATGTTAGAAAGAAATGATATTTTTGGAAAAGTATTTCTAATTTTGAATTTTTTTAGAATTCCAAAATATGCCTTTAATTCATACTAATCATTTCAATAATCAAGTAATTTTCTTTAATACCACGATTCTTTTCACAAATTTCCTTTTACATTTTCATTTCAAGTCAACAAATCATCCTAACGAAAATTCTATAATTTTAGAAAAGTAAGAAGGTAATAAAATAAATCATCAGCATCATTAAATACAATTCTCAAAAATTCCTTTATAAAAGAAAATGATATATTATGAACAAGAGACAAAGATATCAAAACAACAGTATTAAGGATGATAGTAGATAAATATCCTCCATTAAAGATAAAAAGAAATTCCATTAAAGAATTTAACAGTTTATCAGAAAAATTCAAAGCAAATTTTCCTCCTCTTCCTATAAGTAAATTACCTCCTACTACCCTTTCTGATTCACCTTCAAATAGCGTAATCTCAAATAAAAGATTAACTATAGTATCAAAAATGAGAAACTTGAAAAAATTTGAGAGACTAAACAATCTCGTTTACTAATTGCAAAAGACACTGCAACAGATTATTCAATTAATAAAAAATTAGGCGTAAAATCTGAATGTGAACAACTAAAAGTTATACCAAAAAGTATTTTTAGCTAGAATAATTTAGTGGAGAATCGTATTTAAGAGGCTATAGCTGCTAGAGAATTTAGAAATCTTTCTTATCATGGTAAATCTTTACCATCAGATCCAAAGCATAGAATTTTTTAATTTTTTAATACTTTACACTAATAAATTCATTTTAATCAAATATAATTCTTATTTAGATTGTATAGAATTCTTCATATAAGTGAATGTTGATTAATGTTTCCTATTTCTTGTATCTTTACATTTATCTTTCTTTTTTTTTTTAGGAATAAACTTGTACAAAGATAAGGTTCAGTGCTGGTATAGATAGAATATCAAAAAGATGTGGATAGAAAAATTTCTCTATTTTGTTAACGTTTGAGAGAAAGTTAGATTTGCTATGCAAGCATTAATAATATCGATTCAAACAGTCAAAATATTTCTTGAGAAAAAAGAGAATTATCATATTATGAGAAAGCTATTAATTAGTTAAACTGTAAGTTACATTCTTATAATATAAGTGCTCCTTATGCTATTCGACATGATTATTTAAATTTTGAATTAGAATTTAAAAGAATATATCAGGATAAAATAAAATATTAATGATCATAAAGCAAAAGTTTTAGAGAAAGATGAATGTTTATCATTTGATGATAAAATTGAGTCTAAAGATGATGATAATTTGTGAAAATATTTGGCTAAGATTATTAAATAGAAATAATTAATTATAATGATGATCTAATAATTAATATTATTTATCACAATTAATATTATAATTTTCAAAAAAAAAGTAATAAATTAAAAGTTGAGAAAGTATGATTTCAGTGATAGATATTGGCCATTTAAAAATATATATATATTGTAATTTATTAAAAAAAAAGGTTGTTACATCTGTTTTGATATTTATTAAGATTAGATCAAAAGGGAGACAGACAGTAAATATCGTTAGAAATGATAAATGTCTCAAAATATTCAATTATTGCATTTTTTGCAATAACTACCTTTATGGAATATTTAATTATTATTTATCTATTACCTTATCATAGCCAAAAAAATTAAGTTTGGTTGCGATAAAATGACATAAACGTTCAATTGCTAATTCAAACTTTCTCAATTCACTATTCTGCTATGACAATATTAAACTTAAAATTATCTATTAAATTGCAAAAAAGTAATGTCATAATTAATTTTTTTCATTAATAAATAACCCTTCTGCTTTAGGTAGGACTTGGCATGTTTACTTTATTCTACGTTTTAGTTCAATACAAATCACTTTTAGAATACTATAATTCAGGAAGGTAGGATTAAATTCCTTATTATGAATGAATTTAATAAAAAAAGGTGTTCCTATTCTTAATATATAGTTTTGTTTGATTGGCAGTAAAAGGTCAATCACGCAATATAAACATATGTACTTTTCATTACATTTAACTAAGGTATCTTTAATTATGAAAATCTGCATAATACAAAAAAAATTTTAACTATAAAAATGAGAACGTCTCATAGAACTAACTTGATGCTTCTTCAAAATCTACAAGATTATATCAAAGATTGCAAAGTACTGAGAAAGCAATAGTATATCTAAAATTTTCTATTATCAATGCTACATGAAGAATATTTTCCTTTTTTGTTTATAAAACTTGCTTCTAAGTCTCCAGTTTTAAAGTTTACAGATCTGAATTAAATACTAATTGTTAATTAAACTATATAATATTTGTTGAACCTTCATTAAAGATATTAATATTTTCAAATATTTTATATGTATAAATCATTTAAACAAGTAATTTCAGAAAGATTTTTTTTTTTTAAAAAATCCTTTAAGAAAACTGCAAAATTTATTCAGATATAATGTATGATTCTTTATATATGAAAATACAATATATAGCATTAACACTAAGTCTTTTTGATTTGCTTTAAATAAAACTTTGCTTTACATATTAAAGTAGAATTCTATCTACAATAATTAATTGCTTTATATTGTGCAAATATAAGAATATAAGTAAAAATCAAACGAAAGTATAGTGGAATGCTACAAAAAATGAAACATAGTGGTAATGGTAAAATGAAGTGGATTAGTAGTATATCATTTATTTTTTTATCGAAAATTATTGGCAGATACTTATTTCTATTCTCTGGTGCTATAAGTTCGAAATTAATTCATCACGGATAAACTATTAAAGTGTGAAAAACTTATAGTTAGCAATATTAGTAATAGAAACAAATTAGCTATAGAAATATTCCGTAAAAATTAGAGAGCAAAGAAATAACTTGATGTAAATGGTCTAGGATCTCTCCCTCTTGATAGCATCATATATTTTCAATTATTTCGCTCTTTTCGTTATGTAACTTCTTGGGATAGTACAATATTCAATATTATTATATTTAATAAAAAAATAAAGGAAATTGCTATGTAAGGAAGAGTAGAATGTTGTGTAAATGAATTTTATAATCTCAGAACATGATAAGAAAAGTTAGCTTCACAAGACGTCTAATACCCCAACATCTGTGGAACAAAGGCATAAGCGTCTCATAAACCCGCCGATAAGCACAGGCCAGAAGACCGAATAGGCGTAGGGAAATGTTGTCCTGGAAGCAAAAAATTTTTTGTCTGTTCAGCATGATCATTCGTCAATAAATATTTTCTTTCACGTGACTTGCACATTTGTCACGTGTTTATTCTCCGCAAATTGCGCACACATTATTGATGATGACTTTGTTACATAGAGAATTTCAGAAAAATTGTTGACGCAATTTTTTTTTTAATATGAAATTTATTAACCAGAGCTAAATATGCTTCGTTATTACAAAAAGTTAAAAATTAAGATTTTATTGGATGAATTAATTTAATTAATATTTGAAAGATTTTGAGATAAAAAATGAAGTCATATTCATAGATTTGACTAGTGAATTATAAGTTAAAATAATAAAATCTCAAACCTACCATTATTTACATCATCGATATTTACAATCAAACGAACTTGAATATTTCGCAAATAATAATTTCTTATAATATGTCATCATGATATTAATCGATTATCTGCCTTTATGTTCTAAAATAAAAATGGACATATTACTCTTCTTGTTATATCGGCATTTTTATGGTTTTGCAAATTTCACCTGATTTTAATCACATGCTACAAAATCTGGCACAGTATCTCAATTAACTTTGATGTTAGCGCAGTAACGCAAAAGAACTTATACTTACCTATTACTCCTATTACTATAAGATTCTGAGAATTTTTACTGTAATTTTTTCAGGATTAAAATCCTAAGAGAAATAAATATCATTGATAAGAGAGGATTATTTTTATCGAAATTATGGATATATACTCATTACTAATATTCGGTGCTATAGGTTCGGAAGTCCTCTTGTCAGAACTTAATCCTATATATGAGTGAGAAAGATATAGAACGAAAATTCTGTATAGTCTTATTTCTAGAAAAAGACTATGAGTTGAAAATTTCGTAGTTAATTATATTGGCACTATAATCTCCGTTTAATATCCCGAATATCTTATTTCGTAATGACGTGAATATATTTACGTGATGAATGTTTATAGAAAGTTTGATGAAAATTTGTATTTAAGAAAGTTTGATTTATAAGGAACCAACTTTTTTTCTCTCATCTCTTGCTTTTTTTAAACAAATTTTTTTACAAAAAAGCAAAATGTCTCAGAAAAATTTGTGAGATAATTAATAGTCTCGCCTTTACTTTTAAAGAAAAGAATACTTTACGTATTTACTATTATGAAAATTCTAATGAAGCAGAAAAAGCTTTAAGTGTACTTGAAACTTGCCAAACGATTGAAGAAAAATATGACTTTTTAAAATATATTTCTTTAAAGATTGGTATGTTCTAAGAAGCGAATGTGAATAACTTTGAGTATTCGATGCACTTTAATTAACTTGCCTTTTTTGTCTCCTAACCCAATTTAGATGAACCTCAAGGTAAGCCTTCGCGTTGTAACAATTGTTCAAAATTAACATGATGCTTTAATAATATGTTTATTAATCCACTATCCAAAGCCAAATGTATTATAACTGTTGAGAACATCGAAAAAGCTATTAAACCATATATTCGTGATCTACCTCGTAAATTATCAGACAATATCTTAAATGATGTTTATGACATTTCAACTTATTTAAAGTTTGTAAATCGTGAAAAAGAGATCATTAAACTTATGACGAATATGAATAGTTTGT